CGACGCTCTACCAAACGCGTTCAACCCCTCTGCACCACTCCCCAACCCACCTCCACCACTCCATACCTGCACGTCGCTAGTCTCCAGCATGAGCAGATCGTCCGGGATGCATCGGTGAAGAGCGCTCCTGCTCGGCTGTGGGAGAGGAAGGGGGGAGAGAGGGGAGATGGCAGGCCAGGTTGGGTTGGTTAGACAGGAGGAGGAGCGGATGAAGCATGAGCATATCGTCCAGGGATGCATCGGTGAGAGCCCCCCTGCTCGGCTGGGGGATGGGGAGAGGGTAGTTGAGGGGGGCGGTGATAAGGGAGGGGAGAGGGGAGTGGGAGGTTAGATAGAGGGGAAGCATGGGAAGTCGTCCAGCGATGCATTGGTGAAGAGTGCTCCTGCTCGACTGGGGGAGAGGTGGGAGAGGAAGACAGGAAGGCGCGGAAGGTGAGAAAATGGGAAGTTCCCGCAGCGGCTGCATGGGCCCGCTGGCAGCAGCAGCAGCAGCAGCAGAGGGATTGAGCACCATGGCAGAGCGCAGCAGCGCCAGCAGCGGCTGCATGGGCACGCTGGCAGCAGCAGCAACAGCAGCAGCAACAGGTCACATCCCAATTGCACCTGACGCCCCTACGTGTAAGCATGACTCGCAATCAACGCTAAAGCGTGGCCTTGACCCCCCTCACTCGCGTTGAGTACTGTCGCGCAGCGCAGCAGTGCCCTGCCCGCACAGTTTGCTTCGCACACTGGCAGCAGCAGCATTCCAAAAGCCCCCTCTTTCCCCACCCTCTCCCCTCCGTCTCCTCCCCACTCCACCAGCGTTCACTCCCGCTGCAGGGTAGCCTTAACCCCCTTCACTTGCGTTGAGCACGATAGCACAGCGCAGCAGCCCCAGCAGTGGTTGCATGGGCACACTGGCAGCAGCAGCAGCAGGCAGGGCCGCTGTCAGTCCCTCTAGAACCTCCAGGTGCTACACCCGAACATCACTCACCGCTGTAGGGTGGCCTTGACCCCTTCACTTGCGTTGAGCACTATAGCACAGCGCAGCAGCCCCAGCAGTGGTTGCATGGGCACACTGGCAGCAGCAGCAGGCAGGGCTGCTGTCAATCCCTCCAGGACCCGACGGTAATGCGCGGGAGAGAGAGAGGCGGAAGACGAGGAGGAGGTGGAAGAGGAGGAGGAAGAGTGGGGAGAGGGAGGAGGAAGGTCGGAGTAAGAGAGGGCAGCGAGGGATTTGGGGTCGGGCAGGTTGTGCTGAGCGTAGAAGGCGATTGCGCTGCCGATTTCCTTCTCGGGCAGATTCTTTTCCTGGAGGAGGTATGTGGGGAGGGGCAAAGAGAATGGGTGACATATGTTGATAGTGGCATATCTTGACCTTTCCTAGAGGGCTCTTTAGGTGACAGAATTAGGTGTTTGTTGGTTAGTCGCATACCTTAAACTTTCCTAGAACGCGAAGGAAGATGTCGAGAGGCAGGAGAGCGATACCATCTGCAGCCATAGCAATGGGGACACAAGGGAGAACCATCATAAATCGATAGCATTCGGTTACGAGAGTGTCAGCCTGACACTCGTGCTTTGTGGGGATGTTCAGAGTCGACTCAAAACGCACTCGCGAGCAGAGTGGGATAAGCACGAAGGAGAAAGATTGCCAGAACCGTGTCTTATATATTTGAAAATACCCTGCAGCACGTACCGCAGGTGTGAATGGGTGTGGTGCAGAGGTTTGTGACTGGAGCCGGGGGGGGAAACACAGAGGGAAGGGGAGGAGCAATTATGGGGAGGGAGGAAGGAGCAGCGGAGGAAGAGAAAAATGCTCAGAAGAAGAAGAGAAGGGAGGAAGTAATGGTAGAAAGAGTCTCGCAATTTGAGTAAAGGGAATGCGACCCTATGTGGCAAGAAACATCCGAAGGAGATTATATAACCGAGGAGCAACATCCAAATCCATGAGCGTTACCAGCAACCGCATGCTCTGCCTAATCGTAGATACTGCGGTTAGGGAGGAAATACATGCATCTTTAAGAGGGTTACCTGGTAACCGCATGGTCCGCCAGCCTGTCGGCTGCCTCGTCCCACGATTCCCAGTGCATCTGCTTCTGCCAGCAGCCCGGCACAGCTGAGAGGGGAGGGGAGGGAGGGAGGGGTTAATGAAGGGAGTGGGTGGAGATGTGTTGACAGGAGGGCAGATCCGGAGGCGGGCTGTTTGCCTCGTCCACTATTCCCAGGGCGTCTGCTTCTCATCTCAGCACCGCAAGGGCAGCATCAGCGTGTTTCAGCATGCCTCCCATGGCAGCAGCAGCGAACGACAGCAGGTTCACACGTACTTGCCCATGCCCTTCAAGCAAGCACGGCCCATGCCCTCACCACCACCACTCACCTTCTCAGCACCCGCAAGGGCTGCGTCAGCATGCTTCAGCATGCCTGCCATGGCAGCAGCGGCGAACGACAGCAGCAGTGAACGTGCTTGCGCATGCCCATGCCCCCACCACCACCACTCACCCTCTCAACACAGCAAGGGCAGCATCAGCGTGTTTCAGCATGCCCGCCATGGCAGCAGCGGCGAACGACAGCAGGTTCACTCGGTACTTGCCCATGCCCTTGCGCGAATCATTCGGTCATTCCAAGGAATGCGGCTGGGGAAGAGGAGGGAGGGGAAAGCAGGAAGAGGGAGAGGAAAGAGAGGGAGGCATAGAGGTGAGAGAGGGATGACATGACAGCAGGTTCACACGGTACTTGCCCATGCCCTTGCGCGAATCGTCTGTCATTCCAAGAATGCGGCTGGTGGGGTGGGGATTTCGGGAGGGAGGGGGGATGCAGGGAAGGAAGTAGCGGGGTGAGAGAGGGACGAAGGGACAGCAGTTCACACGGTACTTGCCCATGCCCTTGCGGGGAGTCATCTGTCATTCCCAGGAATGCAGCTGGTGGGGGAGCGCAGGGAGAGAAAGGGAGGGAGGGAGTGGGGTGAGAGAGGGACGAACGGACAGAGGTTTATGTTATGAAAGGCGGCTGGAGAGAGTGGGAGAGCGAACGGCAAGGGGGAGCTATCAACGATCACACACACGCGACACCCACATAACTCACACTCACTCTCACTCGAACTCTCTCACTTACACACACTCACTCCCACACACTTACCAGCACCAGAGGGCTGGAGCACCAAGTGGTAAAATCTTGAACATGGTGTTTCTAGAGTTTGTCTGAACTCACCGGCACAAGCAAGGGCAGGAGCATCAAGTGGTGAGATCTTGAAATCCATTCCATAACAGAAGCTGGCGACCTTTGGAAGGAGGGGCGAGGGGGCAGGAGAGGGCATGGGACGGTGAGACGGGACAAGGGAGCGGGCCGGGCAGGAGCACTCAAGTGGTGAGATCTTGAAATCCATTCACATAACAGAAGCTGGCGACCTTTGGAGGGGCGTAGGGGCGGTGGAGGAGGGCATAGCATGGGAGGTGAGACGGGACAAGGGGGGAAGCAGGAACATCAAGTGGTGAAGATCTTGAAATCCATTCCATAACAGAAGCTGGGCGACCTTTGGAGGGGCGTAGTGGGCGGTGGAGGGAGGGCATAGCATGGGAGGTGAGACGGGACAAGGGGGAAGCAGGAACATCAAGTGGTGAGATCTTGAAATCCATTCCATAACAGAAGCTGGCGACCTTTGGAAGGGGCGAGGGACAGAGGCAGGCAACAAGGGGAGGTGTTACGCGCTTTTGAACCAATACTCGAAAGCGTTGTTATAAGTGTCCTAGGCCACTGAAAGAATCCTAGGCCATTACAAGAAGCCGCAACCAAAGTCCCTTGTACTGCGCCACTTCCTATCAGTCTCATCCCTCCATCTCAGCTACTCACATTTCCTGTTTCACAGCCCATAATCTCACCTCTCACATTTGCGAGCTTATGGTTTAACTTCCCTCTCCCCACCACCCACCTGCTTGAACGCCCTTTCCCCTCCGGGTAACCCCAGATATCAATGTGGTTGCGACCCGAATCAGGGTCCTCAGCAAGACGATTACTTGGAAAAAGTCACTGGTAGTGCGCGAGATGGGGGGGAAGGGAGAGAGGGAATTCAATCGACTTGGAAAAACTGAATAAATCGGGGAATATTTCAGCAGGTTTTAGCGGTAGCAGAGGGAGGAGGAGAAAGGGGGGAAGATGTGGAGATTGAAGAGGAGGAGAGAGTGGAGGGGACAATTGAAGGTGGATTGAGGAGAGCGGGTATGGAGAGAAGGGAAGGGAAGAAGATGTAGCAGCAAACACATCTTGTGTTATAACTTGCAGAGAGAAAGTAGGATGAAAAAAAACTTGTTGCACTAACAACAAACAGGGTTGAAAGTTGAAACGAACACACCCAAGATAGGATTAGAAGCACTCACGTGCGTGCGTATAGTGGGTACTTGTGAACGTTGAAAGAGACTCCGGATACAGTCACTCCTGGTGCAGTCACCCCCGGTATAGTCCACACTCAGGTCGCTCCTCATGCCGGCTCGCCTCAGCCACACGGCCTCCAACTCCTCCACCGACATCGATGCCACGTCAACGGCCATGCTCGCTAAGGGATAAGGATGGCGGGCTGCCACGTGTCAGCAGGCTACTGGAGAACGGAGTCTGGCGGAATCAACTGCACGACCCGTTAAGTCCCTGATTCCTTAAACAGAACAAGTGGAAGAGGAAAGGCAGAATTCTCGCCAGAGTCGAAGCAAAGCAATCCCGGTCGTTTGCAACCATTCATAGTAGCGCGTGGACACTGGTACGCGCCAGTTTGCAGCTAAAGGGCTGACCCGAGCAGCTTCTTCCGCTCGCATTCCTGTCCAAACGGTTCTTCTTTTTCCGACGCGAGCAAAAAGAGCGGCTCGGGTCGTCCGGCCAGTTCGCTTTCCCTCTGCGCCTCGAGGCGAACGACGTTTGTCGCCAGCACTGATGCGATCGAGGTCACGAATTCGACCCAGCATGGTAACCAGACTGTCCCTTCGCCGGGCACGGTAGCGACGGCCCACTGGGTTCAGATTCCTTCGCTCGGCGTGCACGAACTTCGTAGGATGTGATTTGAGACATCTCAAAACACTACTTTTATCACGTGACTTAGTGGGATTCGAGAACAGGGACGGTGAACATTGTCGGGGTGAACGGTGCTCGAAATCAACGTCTCGGATTTCCTGGGGAGCGCCGGTCAGCGAATCGGCCTAACTTCAACGCTGTACTATATTTGTAACTGGTTCTTTCAATGCTCCCTCCAAGACTGTAAGGCAGCGTCTGCTCGACTAAAGTTGCGGCGACGAGCTTGCTTCGGAAGCATTGAGCAAGTCGCCGTGACAGTATGACAGCGTCTAGCACAGGCAACGCGACGCGATACTTGTCCAAGGCCGTCATGGTTATAGTACCGTAATAGTAGTCTCGAAACTATCGATGGGCGACGCGTGTGCCTTTCCGTGCGTGTCGGACGGTACTGTATGCTGGTTGGAACAAAACGAGGTTTGCTTTCAATACCAGAATGTTTGGTGAGGTACGTTACGGTTCCAAGCGGCGCAGAGCAGAAGGTGCTGAGAGTTGGTGGTCTTGAGGGCGAGTCTGGGGCAATCGTTTGGCGCAAGACAGATTCTAGACTAGCGGTTCTCAAGATTTACCGTTTTGCACCGTGACTGAACACGTTTAACCGCACAAAACGAACGAGGTTGGACCGCCGTCAGGGCGACTGCTTCCGAGGGCGTTAAAATGAGTAGACACAGATAGGTTTTTTTTTTGGGTTGCGAAGCAACCCTTTACAATCGATTTTGCCAAATTTTATTTTCATGTTTTATCATTTTTAATAAAACATGAAAATAAAATTCGTAGACTACAGTACCCTTCCCATACTGTGCGCATGTTGAAGAATTTTGAAAGATGTTCACAGTATATGTAACCATATGATTGTTTTTTTTTTTTTATACGAACGGCACATTTGTTTGTTAGTATCAGTTTGTACAAACATAAATCTCTCAAGGACCTAAACAGAAAGAGGAAAAGGAGGGAAAGAAAGACTCAACAAGGAGAAGGGAAATGAAGAAAGAAAGGGAGAAGGAAAGTGAAAACTGCCACAAAGAAACCCAAACGCAACACACATAAAACCCCCCCCTCAAGATACCCAATCAAAACCCCCAATCAAGACACCCCATCAAGACGTCCCATCCCACACCCCATTCCTCCCCCCCCCCCCCCCCCCCCCCCCCCCCCCCCCAATCACAAACAGCGTATCCACCATGTACGGGGCCTCCACCCAAAGAGCCCCGCCTTCCACACCGACATCGTCCCTCTCCCGATCGACCAAGTCTACGTTAATTCCCCCCCATGGAAGACGCCGCCCGCAGCAGGAGACTCGGGCCTGCGCACGTTGTAACGCCACCCCGATGAGCGCCTTCAATGACCCTAAAAGATAAGCCGAAAACATAGAGTCGTCCTCCCGACAAGCCCTCCCGCGACACAGCTAACCCCATGTGCGCATCCCCCTGCTGACGAAGCCACCGCCGAAAACGACCGCCGAGACACCTCAATATAATTGTTATTTGTCACGTGGTTTTGTTTTGTGCATATATGCTGTATTGTTATATATTAGTATGTTTTACTATTAAATGGTACTGTAGTAATGATAAATAGAGGCATGATGCATAAATACTACTATATGATGCATAATGTTTAATAGAATGATATGTCGTGAATCATGATGCACATGCATGCACATAATAAAGTGCGTGACAGTTAACGACCCAAAAACTAAGCTACCGCCATCCCCCTGCCTAGCATGGGGGGGAGGTCAATAGCATAGATTTGAATAATCAACTATCACATGAAACAACACAATCTGTAAATCTTAAAAAGATGGTCAGTCCTATCAAATCCAGTTCGAAGTGGCAACACACGAATCACTTTGTGCGCCAATGAACCTTTTGTGAAATGATAGACTTGAGCCATCTTTTTAAAATTCACAGACATGCATTGTTGATGCAATGGACATAAAAGAATGCACATGCATGCACACAATGACACACCCACACGCACTAAGGCAAACTACGGTAACGATAATAGAGCCGCATGGAAATGCACAAACAAAAAAGACTAGGAAGAAATGGAAACAGAAGATGCAAAATTTATGAACAGCAATCTAAATCAAATTCCACAATCCAACATTTCCCAATCGCTTGGCTCAATCATAAGGTAGTTAATCTGACGTACGCGCAACCTGGTGAAGAAAGAAAACAGGCATCACAAGACGAAGAAAGTGTCAAAACATATTGTTATGTTCTTACTCTAGGTTGTGTAGGGTCACACCTTAGAGGGTACAACCCAACTCTCTCGACACTCTTGTACCCCCTCTCCCTCACCTAATCATCATTCCTCACCTAGCTACTAGTGATTCTAACATGGTATTAAGAGCACAATGCTCCTTAGGACCGAATGTTTAAAAGGGCCCACCACTACTATTTCGATCTACTGCCCGAGTCACGCCCCTAGGAGAAACGCGAAATTCGAAATCGTGCTCTAGGCGAGACGGTTCCTTTTTTCTGCCCTAGACGCGATTTTCCTTCCTAGTCACGTGCGACCCCCCCTGACCGCGCCTTAGCTGCCAGTACAGCCCGCGTAGGCCCGTCGCGAAGCCCGTACAGCCCGCGTAGGCCCGTCGCGAAGCCCTTACAGCCTGCGCCAGGCCGTCGCGCAGCCCGTACAGCCCACGTCAGGCCCGCACCCAGCTCGTAAAGCCCGCGCCAGGCCCGCACGCAGCCCTTACAGCCCGCGCCTGGCCCGCACGCGGCCCGTGTTACTGCTGCACTCGCTGCTGCTGCTGCTACACTGCTGCGCCCTGAACTGCTGCTGCAGTGCTGCTGCCGCCTGTACTGCCCTGAAACTGCTGCTGCTACTTGCTGCAGCTGCTCCTCCTTGCTGCTGCTGCTGCTACTTGCTGCAGCTGCTCCTCCTTGCTACTGCTGCTACAGCTAGCGCTACTCACTGCTGCTGCTACTGAAGCTAGTGCTGCTACAGCTAGTGCTACTGCTGCTGCTGCTACTACCGCACTTGCTATAGCTGCTACTGACTGAAGCTACGGCTGCTACAGCTAGTGCTACTGCTGCAGCTCCTACCTCCAACACTTGCTACAGCTAGTGCTACTGCTGCAGCTCCTACTCCAGCACTTGCTACAGCTGCTCCTGACTGAAGCTACTGCTGCTTGACTGAAGCTACTGCTGCTACAGCTAGTACTACTGCTGCAGCTCCTACTACTTGCACTTGCTACAGCTAGTGCTACTGCTGCTCTGCCACTGTGTCCGAGCCGCGCCGCCCAGCCCGAGCTGTCACTGCTGCTGCTACTGCAACTACTACTGCTACAGCTAGTGCTACTCGGTCTACTGCTGCTGCTGCTGCTGCTCGGTCTGCTGCTGCTGCCCGAGCCGCCCTGCTACTGCTGCTACTGGAGGGAGTACTGCTGGGAGTGGTGGAGGTGCGGCCTCCCACCCCCACCGAACCGCCCCTGCTGCTGTTACTACTGCTGCTGCTGCTACTTGTGCTACTGGGAGTGGAGGAGGTGCTGCTGGGAGTGTAGGAGGTGCTGCTGGCGCTGTAGGAGCTGGAGGTGCTGGACCTGTCAGAATGTATTTGCTGTCTAGCCTGCAGTGGGGTACTCTGTAATGAATACAACCCAATTTAGGGTGTTGTACTTGTATCCCAACTCTTGCTAGTGAAACCCCATTCCTCTCCTTCCAAACCTCTCGATACTTTTCCTAAACTAGAACTCAACTACCAAGGCTCCTAAACTATGGCTCCTAAGCCAAACTCTCGCTAGTTCTTTAACATGTTATCAGAGCTTAACGTTCCTGGCCTGTGGGCCCACTCGATTCCGCTGCCCTACTGTGTGTCGCAGCGCCCTGTGGCGCGCGACATCCCATTTTTCTTCCCGCCACGCGCTCCGAGCGCGTGGCGGTTTTCTGCCCGCCGTGCGCCCCGAGGCGCGCGGCGGGTTCCTACCTCGTCGCGGCGTCTTAGGGCCCGCGCACTGGCCCCGACCGTCGCCTCGTCGAGGCGTTTTGGGGGCCTGCACGCAGGTCCCTTCCGTCGCCTCGTCGCGGCACTTTCAGGGGCCCGCGAGCCGGGCCCCTCCCGTTGCCTCGTCGCGGCGCCTTAGGGGCCTGCGCGCGGTCCGCTCCTCGTTGCCAGTCGAGGCACTTTTGGGGACCTGCGCGGCTCCCTAGCACATCGCCCGTCAGGGCACAATGGGGGCCGCGCCCTTCCCCTCCCCTCCCTCCTACTTTCCGCTGCAGCAGCCGCTCCCTGGAGCCGCCGCCCCTGAAGCAGCCGCCCCTGGAGCGGCCTGCCTTGCAACAGCAGCCGCCCCTGGAGCAGCCGCCCCAGCAGCAGCAGCCCCTGAAGCAGCCGCCCCCAGCAAGTAGCAGCCCCTGGAGCAGCCGCCCCAGCAGCAGCAGCCTCTGGAGCAGCCGCCCCCAGCAGCAGCAGCCCTTGGAGCAGCCGCCCCAGCAGCAGCAGCCCCTGGAGCAGCCGCCCCAGCAGCAGCCGCCCCAGCAGCAGC